AACCGACCTTCGAATCTCTTCACCCAACACTTCTACTCGAAATGGAAGTAATCCCAACAAACTTATATTTGCTATAGCAATCGACGACAATCCCACCAGAGGATGTGATATGAGAAATGCCTGGCCCTCCTTGAAATTCACATCCACCCTGTGACTCAAGGGCCCTCGTGAGAATGTGACATGTCGGCTAACGTGTCGAGATTACACGTTGCATTGTCATATTTCGAGTCTCGCTAGGGGTGTTGATAAGACCTATGCGAGGTCGAACCTGCAGTCCACTCCAGCAGGGATAGAAACACCTTTTGGGAAGGCAAGGCTCTGTTAAATTCAATGGAAGCATCAAGTCTACACAAATGATCGTCGGAATATTAAGCTACCAGTCCTTCACACCTTAAACGAAATGGGGTGAGTGCAACTCAGCTATTTCATAATTTAGAGAGAAATATGAACCATTATCGAGATCCGACTTTCGCCAGATTGTGTGCTCCTGCGGTCGGCCTTATGTTGGTGAGACATGCAAGCAAATTTGTCAAAAGATGGGGAAACATAAAAATGCTTGTAAAGAGAGCTCAGTCCAACGGTCAAGAGCAACTGAACACTGACCGGAGACTGAACATGAGATAGAATGGCCGCAAACAAGTGGATTTGCTTATTGTACTACGTCTGCTGTTATAAGGAGGTATAAGAGGGACTATTGAAATTATTTAGATTATGGAACACGCTGAATGATGGTAGAAAGTCGAGTAATAACTACTCAGGCTTGCTTGGAAGTTTGAAGGAAAGAGAGGGGGGTGTTGAGCCGCCGTACAAAAGAAGTTGACCCGATTTGTCTGCTCGCTGACGGTTCTAACTCCACTCACCTTCGTCCAACATGTGAGATTAAGCTCATCAACCAAACCAGACGTGCCAGATTAAGCAGCCCTAGTCGTGCATTCGCCTGGGTGATTAGACGTCAATGGCTCTAGACTGAGAGGTTATGACAAGTGGTTTCGTAACTTGACTTACAAACCTACATCTCATTGCCTCAAATAAACTTTCTTACGGACTTAGACAGTCTCGGTCATGGCTTTCTATTGGGTCATTAAGTCTTGATCAGCATAGTCTGACATTAGTCTTTTGATCACTTATTTAGGACCGGTATTGCGTATTGACGTCAAAACACACACACATAGGCACTCGAACAAACGTAGCAGGACCAGTATGAAAGATAATTAGGCAAAGTACTTTATATCTC